ATATCTTGATTCTCCTTCATTATTTATCAGTTTTTTATTTTTATGTAAGAAATTAATTCTTTGCAAAAATAAACCTTATGAAATGATTAGACGACATTTGGTCATACATTCACACAATATTTAGAGATTATATATGAACCTAAGTCTTTCTCTCTCTCTCTCTCTCTCTCTTTTATATATATATATATATATATATATATATATATATATATATCTATATATATATAACGCTACCATCACTATCTTAAGTACCCACCTAAATATTAAAGCAAAACACACAAACATAGATAAAATACGGTCGTATCATCACCTTGACTTTCATCATCTTCATATCTCCATCTCAATAACATAAGTAAAATATAGAAAGATCATAACCGTATAAATGAACAATGATTTTAATAGAAAAAATCTTCGATTAAAATCAACACAATGGGAGGGAGATCAATACAGTGAGGCAAAATGATCATTTATAATGTATCTTGATTCTCCTTCCTTATTTATCAGTTTTTTATTTTTATATAAGAAATTAATTCTTTGCAAAAATAACCCTTATGATATGATTGGACGACATTTGGTCATACATTCACACAATATTTAAAGATTATATATAAACCTAAGTCTATATATATATATATATATATATATATATATATATATATATATATATATATATATATATATATATCACTACTAGAAAACTAAGTAATTACCTACAGGAGAATTGGTAGTAAATCCGTAGGAACAAGGCGTTACCTACAGATTTTCCACAAAAAACGGGTTCTAGGAAAAACCCTCGTGGGTAATTTTTTCCTACAATTTAGCTACAAACGTTCCTACGCATTTCCTACGAAATATTATGTTACAAATTTAACTACATAATACCTACGGAACACGTTAACTACGGAATACCTACAGATTACCTACGAGTTATTTAGCTACGAAACTCCTACAAAATACATACGGAATATTTTCCTACGGAATACCTACGAAATGATTTTCCTATAGAATATCTACCAATTACTTTACCTACAGATTACCTACTAACACATTTTCCTACGGAATAACTACCAACTGATTTTCCTACAGAATACATACCACCTACTTTACCTACAAATTACCTACCAACATCTTTTCCTATGGAATACCTACATATTTTATTGGATTTTATTTCCTACAGAATACCTACTGAATATTTATTTCCTACAAATTTTCTATGAATTTTTTACCAGTTTTTATTGCTATATTAAACTTATAATTCCTACCGAATATTTATTTCCTACAATTCAGTCAAAAATGTATTGCTATATTAAATTTATAATTTAAAAAAAAAAATCCAAATTTTCTGCTAAAAAAAACAAATAAATAATTAAAATAATAGTCAAATACCATTACATTCATTACTATTAAAATGGTCACTAACATACCATTCATACATTCAAATACTCAAAATAACATTACAATACCATTACAAAAACTAAGAACTAGTCAATAACATAACATTAATTTAGTGTTCTAAAACAAAAACTGAGAACTACTTGGTGGATTACCGGACAGATTGATTTGTTTCATAAAGGCCGCCAATTGTCGTTGCACTTGCAATTCCATTTCATTTCGCATTTGTTGCATTTGCAAATTCATTTCACTTTGCTTTTCTTCCATGGCTTGTTCCATGTTTGACATTTGTTGTCGCAACTCATTTACCTAAAATATAGCAAGACAAACACATGCAGTTAGTAAATATAATTCAACTTTAAACCATGATAGCAATGTACTTTACTTTTAATTCAATATAAAAACATACTATTGATAATAACAATGTACATTGTTTTTAATATCCATAATAATAACTTTTAATATGCTTAATAAAATAATATATTCTTATCCATTATACCATTGTACTTTACATTTCCAATCCATAATATCAATGTACTTAAACTATTATCAATAACTACAATTTACTTTACCAAATATCAATAATAGCAACATACTATAATTTTCACCCATTATAGCATTATGTTTTACCTAATTTAATAATAGCAACATAGTATCATTTTCAACCATAATAATAATGCACTTTACCTAATATTAATAATGACAACATATTTCAATTTTCATCCGTAACAACAATGTACCTTACCAATATGAACATATTGTTTTTCAGCCATATTAAGTACCTCTTGATTTTTTTTCTCTATAATATATTATGTAAATAATAGTACCTCCTGTTGTGACTTTGCAAAGTCAGCAGAAGCTGAAGTTGACTCATAAGAATATGCACCCGTCATCAGAAAGTGAAGATCCGAGTATCCTGCCCCATAGATAGGACCTTTTTGTTTCCCGCCATTCCTAAGCAACTGTGTTTGGGTCTGATATGTGCATATTTAGTGTGTATTAAGTATAGTTTTTATTCATATATTAGCTAAATTGTTGCATATTATGGACAAAAGGTACTTAAAAGTGTTAAATTATGTTTTTCAGTCCAAAGATGAAGCTCGGAAGCGAAAGGAAGCAAGAGAAGCGGTTAGGAGCTCAAGAGTGGAATGAAGAAGGAAAACACCCAAAAAAAGGCTTCTACTCGTCGAGTCGAGCCTTGACTCGACGAGTCCGGTCGCGGATTCAGAAGGATAATGATTCGGAAGTCAAGATAGTTATCGCAATACGAAGAATGTGAGGGGGACTCGACGAGTCACCACCTGACTCGACGAGTCGGAACGCATATTTAAAGATAACTCCACAAATCGAGAAAGGGGAATTCTGGAAAGTTTCAGAAGTGCCTTGCTGCGAATAAGAAGCCAGAAGAACCCTAGAAGTCGACCAAGGAAGCTAGAATTCGATTCCGGGAGTAATTAAGGCGTAATTTCATCATTCTACTTATTCCTTTTGTTTTGTCAACATGATTAAGCAACTTGAACTTATTTGTTTGCTGTTATTTACCTTAGTTATGAACTAAATTCTTTAGACTTCTGTTTGGGGATACAAAGTTGACAATATGATTTGATTGATTGGTAGGATTAATTCCAAGTTGGTGAATTATTGTTATTTTAGCTTGCTAAAGAACCTTGTGTATGAATGATAATTAATTTTCTGTTAATAGGAAGATAATTGATTAGCATGAACATCTATTGATTATCAACCTCATATGATATGTGACCACTATACCATATGTCTAGAATTAATGAATATAAAACTAGGATTAATAAGGAAATTGAGTAAATTCATGTGCAAGCTTGTAAGATGACCATCAAACAAGAGGTTAATTAAGAATAATAAATTAATTAGCTATTGCAAGTCTAACTTAACCCGAATAATTAATCTAGTAAATATAATTAAATTAAGCAATTGGCCACTGTTTGAGTTAGTTTATTTGCTAAGGATTTGGGTAGTGAACATGAACCTAATTACTTGAATCGGTAACCAACGAAAGAATTAATCCATTGCACTATTACCTTGAAATCAACCATAAAGTTAACCGAGTTGAACTAAACAGAAGTTCCTCTCCCATTATTGAATCTAGTTAAATTGTCATTTTCTAGTCTTTAATTAGTTATAGTTAGTAAGTTTCTAGTCTTGTAAAACTAGAGAAAAACCCCTATTTTCTTAATCAACTTAGATAGAATTAGTTTTTAATTTAATTTGCCGTTCCATGTGTTCGATACCCTGCTTATTTAGCTATACCACAATTGATAGGTTCACTGCCTTTTGTGTGTTATTTGATAATTAAAGTAGGATTAAAACTAAGTGAGTTTTACACACATCAGGATCCACAATTCAGGATCATTCACATTATGTTGATTCGGATCATCACCATATTTTTGAGATAGGGCTTTGTTATATGATTCCTACAATATACCAAAAGAAAGTTTTTGTTATTGTACTAAAAAGTAAAACTAATATTAGTAAATATATAAAAAGATAAAGACAACTTACGATCGCCACCCTAGATGTCTCATTCACAAAATCCATTGGCGCCACTTTATCTCCCCCAAAATATATTTTCTTTGATTCAGCGGTAAGATGTGTCTTATAATAAAGGTCAATGAATGAGGGGTCTTCACCCGTCAACTGTTTCTACATAAACGACATAACATAATTGATGTAATTAGTGTTGAAAGAAAAATGTATCATTAAAATCTATAATTATGATTACTTACCGATTTAAGATGGTGCTCCTCAAATCCAATGCTACCACCCGTATGTTTGGCTCCCCTCCCCCCCCCCCCCCCCCAGAATTAGTGTTACGATTTTTTTCCGCTTTTGGACAACTTTTTCCACTCATTTATGTCCTATTTTTGTAATATATATATATATATATATATATATATATAATACAAAATAATCAATAATGTATTAGATTCCTTGCCCTGCACAAACGTCGCCAAAACATCTCTATGTATTTCAGGAGGATTGTAATCTTCAAGAATCTCAAAGTTATCATTAATCTCTGGGATAACGTGGCCAATTTTTCTTGCAGAATTTACTGATGCTTCCCTAGCATACCTCGTTCTACCCCTGTAGCGATCTTTCAGTGTATTCTCAAAACCTTCACGAATTATCCCTTCTTCATTTGGATCCCATCGGTATTAAGTCTGTAAAAAAAATAAAAATTAAAAGTTTAGAATGCAAAATAAGAGTGAATGAGAAATAGATATTAAAAATAAATAATTAATATATTACCCTGAAACGCTCAAACATTTGAGTGACAACTTCCTTCGGAATTTTTCTATAAGTAATCCAAGGTTCATTTATAGACTGCCAAAATATCTTTAAGATCGCTCGATGAATACTTTGTCTTCCAAATCTACAATATTGAAATAACCATATAAGGATAATTATAACATCAAAAATCATAAATTTATAATAATTAAAAAAAAGACTTACTTGTACCCCTTTCGTGTGATAAATGAACTATGAGAGCCATTCGAATATGCATCATTTGATCCACTATGTGTACCCGAATAATGGGGCATCTGAACCATTAACGATTCAGGATCATGCACAGACTAATGCCCATACTCAGGCTCATGTTCATGCTCAGGCCCATTATAGAAAAAATCACTAGCGGTATCTTCATTGTTGCCTGTCATCTCATAACCATATGCAATACCATTCCCACCATTTTGTACCACCCCTGTATCTTCTATAGCATCAGTCAAGCCCATGTAGGTATTTATGTCACCCATGCTACTATTCCCTGAGAATCCCAACCTTTCCATCCTAATTGAAGTGCGTGAAAGGCCACCCGACAAAGGGATGTGTAGAATGCCATTAGGATCGGGCGATGACCTGGCTCTCGATGTTGAACCAACCAAAAAAAGGTTGTGCTGAAGGCCACTAAGATCAGGATCGGGACAAAGCGATAACCTGGCTCCCGATACAAAACCACTGTGTGACAACCCGAAATTTCCATTCTGAACAAACCATACCAAGCCAATAGAAGTTAGAACAGCTACAGTGAAATTCCAAACTTCGGGTATAAGTTTGGTAGATTTTCAGGATTTATACTTAACGAGATATCAGGAGAGTGGATGCAATAGGGTTTTGTGCAACGTTGTTATTCCAATACTCTATGATATTAGAGTTCATTTCGGGAATAAAAATATTTTCTGTCAAAAATCCCAGGACTCTATATAGAAATCTGAACCAAAATAATTCATTAGTTACATTTCCCATTTGAGAAAAGCCAAAATTCTCTCTCACGGATCTTCGGGTTTTTATCCCAAATTGTGAGTACTTCGATCTAGTTGTATTATATAGCTTAGATTATGTTTTATAACATCAAAATCGAATCAAAACCCCAAGATTTGGGAGTTTACTGCCCAAGAACACGCGGAGAGTAAGCTCCATTTTAAGGGCCAAAAGTGTCCTAATATCCCTCAAAGCCTTAGAACTCAACATAGGGACTAGCATTACATGTTTTAGACCACAAAACAATTAAGAATCAAGGGTGAAAGTGAGTTCACGGCCAAGGAGATTCTTGGGCCATGAACTCCATTTTTATGTGCCAAAATGCCTTAAAAACCCACCTTAAGCCAAGAGACTAATTTGGGCATGTACCTGAATGAGTTTAGGACTAGCAAAAACACTTGGAACACCAAGAAAAGGGTGTTCACGACCCAAGATGTTCCAGGGCCGTGAACTCCATTAAATGGTGCCAAATGATGCCATAAATCCTCCTAAAGCCTTGGACAATTGCCTTAATGCATTCCTTGATAACTTAGGGACTTGAAAGCACCATAAACCTTTCCCCAAGGGAGATTACGGCCGTAATCTCCATGGGATATGGTCCCAGAGCCGTGAACTCCTCAATGGAGTCAATAGGAAGCCCAATCAATTGTTTAAGCGTTGGAACAATTCACCACTAGAGTTGTATTAATTCTACGCTTCATTTAGAGACCATATTGTGAATTTACGGCCAGGATTTTACTCCCATGGGCCGTAAACTCCAAATCATATGGTCATTTGACCATAAACCCCCATTAGAGGTCTTGCACTCCTTTGTTGCAACCCATTTGCCTCCTAACACTAGACCAAAAGCGTTTTCCTCGCATTAAAATGCTTATACTTGTATAATTAGTGTTTTAATCACTAATTATTTATATACATATGTCTTCATATGTAATTAGGATCATTGTGTGTCTCTAAAGTCTTCACTTGACACCAAGCACTTATCCGATCATTCCTTACGATAACTTTCTGTTCAATTCCAATCACTTACTGCAGGTGAGTTCATACCCCTTAATCAATGTTTTAATAGTTTTTGAATGTTTTATGGGGGGATACAAGTAGAATTATGCTAATTATCATATCAATCATATGTGATTAATAAGTAGCATTCAAATGATTGGCTATTCATTAGCCGTTTTACTAAACAGTTTCATTCAAACTATTTTTATAAATATTTTATATGTTTAAAACTCCTTATTACATTGTACATTTTACTATGTATGTTTTATTTCAAATTTATTTACAATTGTGATTCAAACAAATGTTTCCTTATACTAAATTGTTTTATCAAACCCATGCCTTCAAACCGTTTTATAGATTGACATCAAGTCGATCTTTCCTTAAGATAATAATTATGTTCAAAGGTTTTACAAAACTTATTTATGCTTTTATATTATAAATTGCATGCCTCTATATGTATAGTTATATAAGAAATGTTTAAAAGACTTAGGAAGGCTATCCACCGTATTTCCTTTTCGCGCTTGAGATGTGGTCTGGTGGGATATCGAGTACTCGTCCGAAGGTTGTTTAAATATTAGTTATATAACATATGTACATATATAATCATAAAGATCCTTCCAGTTCATCCAATGCCCTTAGGTAGCAAGGGTATACATCCATGTTCATACTTACCAGTTAGATTACTAGTAAACTACCATAAGGTGGTTTAGGAAGATACTAGAACTATTACTAGAACATAATATCATACTATGAGTCAGTTCATTCATGAGTTAATACTTACTACTATGAGAACATATACAACTATACTAGAGAAGAGAACATATACAACGATACTAGAACAAGTAACATTACATTACATATACATGAATACGTTAACAATTGTGATCCACTGTATCGGAGCATGCCTTAAATGTCATGGACCGTGTTGTAGCCAGATTCTCTTGGAGGGAGAGCGTGAGTTTGCGTATAGATCTATACTGGATTGACTATCCTACACCTTGCTGCTAGCTACAGCCGGACCTGCAGGTCTACGGGTGCCAAACGTCATTCCGTTTTATGACCATTCGTATGTCGTTGTTACCAGTCAATAGTATGGTACAATTAATCACATAATACCTTAATATAAATCCAGTTTAAGGTAGTTAGTACAACAGTAGTTCTTATAGCGCTACATTTTAGTACTACATTAATTTTCCCTGTACATATATTTAGTGATCTTTTCACTTAAACTTTAAATGTAAAAACTATATTTTATTAAATGATGATTACACTTGGGAAAATTTCACACTTTTACATGAAACGAACATTTAGAACAGTTAAGTCTTGGTAGAAGTCTACATTGAGAACAGTTAAGTCTTGGTAGAAGACACCCTTATATAATAGTAGGAATCATAGGGATTTCTAGAGTTTTTCAAACGTTTACAGTTGTTTTACAAACATTTTTATACTTACAGTTCATAAACTTACAACTTCTTACATACAAATTAAGACACTAAAATACTTATGATCTCACCAGCTTCAAAGTTGATACTCGCTTTCAAAATTACTTGCATCCTCAGGTCATTATAGACAGGTACCGATGCAAGGAGAAAGGAAGATGGAGTTCATTCAAGACTCATCTTTCATTTTGATTTATGCTTTAGTTTTTATTATAATTTGACAGAACACACTTGTATTAAAATTATATTATTAATGAAATGGATGATGTTGTTGCTTGTTTACTACATTTCATTGTTGTGATACTATACATGACATCCTCCGCCCCAGAACGTTTCCGCCGTTCTTGGTTTTGGGGTGTGGCACACTGCGTCGAAGGCCACTAAGATCAGGAAAAGGTGATGACCCGGATCCTGGTACATAACCACTTGTAAGAGGGATACGTGGAAGGCCACTAGGATCAGGCAAAGGTGATGACCCGACTCCTGGTACAAAACCACCTATAAGAGAGATGCGTGGAAGGCCACTAGGATCAGGCAAAAGTGATGACCTGGCTCCTAGCACAGAACCACCTGTGAGAGGGATGCGTGGAAGGCCACTAGGATCAGGCAAAAGTGATGACATGGCTCCTGGTACAGAACCACCTATGAGAGGGATACGTAGAAGGCCACTAGGATCAGGCAAAGAGGATGGATTACCACCCGACGGAGGACGAACCAGAAAAAGGTTACGTGCTAGGCCTTTATCCGACATGTTGTGTTTATAGAACAAAAATAGTCAGATATGTTAGATGATAATGAAAAATAACAAATAGATTAGCGTACACATACCATATTATAAATTAAAAGTAAAACAGGATAACAAAAATATTAAATTTTATATACCATATAACATAAAACAAACCTCCTAACATTCGTCCTCATCTGGATCAGAGTAGGCAAAATAAACTGGTTCGTCTCTATCATCTTCTTGGTTTTCCGCTTCAGAACCTTCACTCTCATCGGAAGATATTTGATCAAAGTTAGTTCTATTTGAGGCTAGGCTCAAACGTTCACTAACATTTACTTCATTCGGTAACTCAAACCACTCATCAAGATGAAAGAATCCATTTGCTTCATTGCTTCCATCAAGCGCAACTTCCGTTTCAACTTCGGTGACATCATATCCCCTCTTGGTTTTTTCTTGACAACCGCCCAAAGATCTTTTGTTTCCTTTGTCACCGCATAATATGGTGTATAAAATACTTGTTCCACTTGTGATGCCAAACAAAAAGGGTCATTCGTTTGGATACGACACTTAGGTTTAACATCAACCAATTTTTCTTGTTAACTACTACACCACGGATATTATCAAACCAAGTGCATTTGAATAGTACAACATTCGAGCGCCCAATGCCATAATAGTCAATCTATAGGATCTCATCCAATAAGCCGTAGTAGTCTGACTCTTCGCCATTATACATCTCCCCCCATCACACATAGTCCACAGTTATTCGTTGCATGTCCTTTACCATATTCTTGTGTGTGGAACTTGTAACCATTTACAAACTAGCCATTGTAAGACTGAGCATCGTTCGAAGGGCCATTTGCTATAGGTTCTAAATGTTTAGCACTTCCATCGGTTGAGTCCCTCGTTACCTACATTAAAGAGCATATATGCAAAATGTTTGTTTAAAAAAACACAAAAATTAACAACTATGATTGAATTGGTTTTACTTACTTTGTATTTAAACCATTATGCAAAGTATTTATCTCTAAGTACTGAAATTGGTTCATTTTGATATGATGCTTGGGCTGCTCGATCAAACTCTAGGATGAAAGGGGCAACTTCTGCACAGTTTAGTAGGATGTAAGTGTGTGCTTTGTGAAGTTCTTCATGTTTCAAGAGTCTTTTCTTTCCACCCTTTTCATGTAATCTTCTTGATGGAAAGGCAAATACGCTTAATAAATCTCCACTTGAAGAGTTGTCATGTTGTGGTGCGAAATTTCGTGGCTCTTGATTATGGCGTGTCTCAACCGTGGGGGCAAAATATAAAGAACAATAGGTAGCGATTTCATTCACTAGATGTTCACTAATGATTGAACCTTCAACCCTTTCTTTGTTCCTAATTCTTCTTTTTATTATGCCCAACTTCCTATGCTTTGAAATTATCAAGAACGTGTTATGAATACTAAAAAGAATATGTAAAAGTTTAATACTTAATATTACAAACAAAATGATTACCTCTTGTATTGATACATCCATCTGTATTGCATGGGACCACTAAGAATTTCTTCATCAGCTAAATGTATGGTTAGGTGTTCCATGGAATCAAAGAAACTAGGAGGGAATATTTTCTTCAACTTGCAGATGGTTTGAGCAATACTGCGTTTCATGTTGTACAAGTCCTCCATATGCAATGTTTTCGAGCATAATACTCAAAAAAACATGCATAACTCTGTTATGGCCTCATATACCATATTTGGAACAAACCCTCTAATAGCAAGTGGAAACAACTGTTGCATAAATTCGTGATAGTCGTGGCTCTTGAAACCGTAAAAACTACCATCTTTGACGTTCACACAATTCCCTATATTCGATGAATACCCGTCTGGAAATTTCAGCTTTTTCAGCCAAGCACAAACTTTTTTAACATCGTCCCTCTCTAAAGTGTAGTCTCCTTTCTTCATCCAAGCCTTCCCATTATTGTCCCGGACAGGGTTTAGAAGAGGTCGGTCACATAGCATCTCAAGATCTTGTCTTGCGCTCAATTTATTTTTAGATTTGGGGGTGCCCATACTAGTATGAAACATATTTTCAAACACATTCTTCTCGATATGCATCAGATCAAGGTTATGTCGGATCAACAAATGATGCCAATAGGGAAGCTCCGAAAAAATGCTCCTCTTTAACCAATTATTTGTCACTCCAAAACCATCCGACTTTATATAATTTGGACCATACGGATTCCCTTCGTAAACAATGCTTAAATGTTTGACTGTCTGCCCAATTTCATCTCTGGTTGGGTATGGAATATCTACTTCGCTCTTCGATGTCTTGTTTTTCTTAAAATTAATCTTATCTTTTTTGAAAGTGTGGCCTTTGCGTAAGTATTTCTATGGCACTCAAACCAATAACGTTTATTTCCCTTTTGAAGCCAGAATGATTCTGATTGATCCAAACAATATGGGCAAGCTAACTTACCATGTGTGCTCCAATCGGATAACATTGCATAAGCAGCGAAATCACTAACTGTCCACATCAATACAGCTCTCATCTGGAAATTTTCCCTTTGATGAGCATCATAAGTTTCAATGCCATCTATGAACAACATCTTTAACTCGTACACTAAAGCTTGTAGGAAAACATCCAAATTTTGTCCTGGATTCTTAGGCCCAGGAATGATCAAAGGAAGCAATATGTATTGATTTTTTAAGGCCAACAAAGGAGGTAGGTTGTATATTGTGATAAACACTGGCCAACATGAATACAGACTCCTATTTGAATTATTTGGACTAAACCCATCGGTACACAACCCAAGTCGGATATTACGTGTCTCTTGTGCAAAATTAGGAAAAACTTCATCAAAATGACTCCAAGCTCGACCTTCACTAGGACGTATCATCTTTTCATGATCTGAGTGCCAGGTCAAATGTTGAGCCGTCTTCTTCGAATAGAACAACCTTTGAAGTCTAGGTCCAATAGGCATGTAAGTCATGACCAAATTAGGAACCTTGTTGCCCTTTTCCATGTATCTACTTTCATTACATACTACACAACGATCCAGATTAGCATGATATCGATAGAATAACATGCAATGGTTTATACACACATGAATTCGTTGTGAAGGTAGTTTTAATAGCTTCAACATTTTCTTGGTCTCGTAAAAGTTGTTAGGAAGTTTCTCACCTATAGGTAGACTGTCTTTGATTATAGGAATTAATCTATCAAATGAAGAGTCTGATATATTGCACTCCGATTTCCAGTTCAACAATTTGGTGGTGGTGGAGAGTGTGGAAGCTTTTTTAGACCCATCCCATAAAGGCTCGCTAACTTGGTTTAACATTTTTTAGAAAGTTTGGGCTGATTGATTTGGTTTTGTTGTGCTGGTTGACAATAAGGAGCCTGTTGATAGTAAGGAGCCTCAGGTTGATGCATGCTTTCGATAATCATCTGCTCATATCTATGATAATCACCCACACCTTCATCATTGTCTTGAGCCGTTTCAGAGATTTAACATTGACCAATTTCTTGTGTTGGATATAATTCCCCATGTGCATACCAAAACATATAATCTTCCATGAATCCATTCTAGCATAGATTCAATTGAACTAAATTTCTTGTCTTGTAATAACGATTTTTGCATTTCTTACACGGGCATCTAATTTCAAAAACCTCCACCCCTTCCACAGTACTATGTTGGATGTCTGTTGCATTCGTGTAAGCGAAGTCCAAGAAATGATTGACACAATGTCGAAATTCGGTATTAAAATCCCCATTCCTAGTGAGTCTCTTTGTGTATATCCATTCTCTATTTGATGTCATTTTGATCTATAAACAATATTTAGCCTATCATTCTACTCAATTAAACCCTAAACAAATGAACATAGCAATGTACTTTACACTGAACAAATAAACATATCATTGTAGTATAACCTAAACAAATAAGCATACCAATATATGAAACACTAATCAAATATGTTGATGCAACAAATGAAACTATTTAAAACTAACCAATTAACAATTTAAAACTAATAAATAACAATTAAATGGTCAATAGCTAAATCTTGGTCCTACTATGTGGGTCATAATGTTATGTCATGTGCAATTGAACATGGTCACATAAAATTACTCAAATTCATGAACTTTGTAACCATAGGTTTGGTGTTAATTTGCAGTATTTCAAATCTTTTTTATTTGGAATGTTTGACTTTTGGTATATGAAGGAACAAGTTATGATTTTGGAAAGGAAGCTGATCTGTATACAACAAGATTTTTCAATACATAACAAATTTATGCGGATGGACAATTATACCCTTTCATTATTTTACATTGTTTACCCTTCTACTCTAAAACCCTTTCCTTACGTATAACCCATTCCCATGATCACGATAAGATATGGATTCAATTCAATCATCGTCCACTGCTTGCTTCACCTTGTTGCCGCCTCCAGCTTGCTTCATCGTCTTTGTAACCTCCGGCTTACCCCACTACCATCGTTCATCAACTGTTTCAAGCTTGCTTCATAGTTACGCGCTAATTTTCATTACAAATGGCGATTTTGTTTCTAATTTTGACCGTTTCCTTGTATCAATGTGTCTCTTATCTTATTTGCAAAAGCACTAAGTTGGAATTGTGAACTAATCTACAATCCTTTCTTCTAAAATCATGAACTGATTTTGATTTGGTTAATTATGGATTCAATTTTCTGATCGTTCCAGTACAATTGCAACCTCAATGCATCTCTTATCTAGTTTGAAAAAGCACGAATTTGGAACTGTGAACTGATTTGGAATCATTTCCTATACAATCATGAATTGATTTATAATTGCTTAATCATGATTCTTTTTTGTGATTGTCCCTATACAATATCAATGTTCTATTTTTTTTATAGTTTCTTGCACATTTTTGTATCAGACTTTTGTTATCAAATTTTCTATTATATATCCAGTCTTCAAATCCAAACATCAATTTGAACTGATTTGGAGTGGAGTTGTAGTTTTTTGATCGTTTACAGTACATCTTTGTGGCTTCACAGCAAGATAACGTTTGGT